AATGAAGATTGGTGAGCCCCAATTTAGCAAAAGAGTTCATAGCAATTAACAATCTTGGAATCTTCCCAAAGAGTTGGAAAGTTAGTACCACTGATTATGGCTCAGTATTTATTGAATACAATTTTAATGAGTGCCAGATTGAAGTGAGATTCTTGTTGAGGAGCAATCTGGATTTGGGTGAGAGGGAGATCAACAATCCAAAGACATATTGTGCTCTTCTTCCTTGCTAAAAATATTATGAGGCAAGAGACACACTTAATTGCACCTCACATCATTTAACTGTATTTTAAACTTCTATTAACAGAAAACACCTTTGATAAAAGATAGCTCCATGAAGGACTGGAGCTATTACATATGTACAGCAACGCATCCTTGGGATCAGCACACAGACTCAATTGCACTTAATTTTCATCAGTGGATATTTGAGGGAGAGATAGTGACAAAAAGCCTTGTTCTTCTGCACAGAAGCAATTAGCTAAAATAAAAGTGATACTGCCTCTTGCAGCAGTCATGCCAATGTGGTTCAAACCAGAGAGAGCGAGGACGTGGCACCTCTGACAGAGAGAATTACATTAGTGTCAGAAGACCTATTACTGATGCCACTCTAGAATCTGATCCTGGTAGCACATTTGCATCAGTGCTCATGCTAGTATGCTGTTTGGGTTCTCCAGTTTGGTTACACAGCAGTTAGCCCAAGCGGAACCAACACAGGCATTGGTGCAGGCCAACTGAACAATGGCAAAAAACCCGACATTTGCAAATAAGTAAACTTCACTGAGTCCAATAGGAATTGCTGTCAAGTTGCTTCTGACTTATGGCAACCCTATGAATTAATGATCTCCAAAATAACAGCATTGCTCAAATCTTGTAAACATAGAGTTATGGCTTCCTTGACTGAGTCAATCCATTTCATGTTGGGTCTTCCTCTTTTCCTGTTCCCTTCAACTTTTTCTAGCGTTATTGTCTTTTCCAGTGACTCTTGTCTTCTCATTACACAACCAAAGTATGATAGCCTCAGCTTCTATGGAGAGTTGAGCCTTGATTTGATCTGGAATCCACTTATTTGTCTTTTCTGGTGGCCCATGGTATTTGTAAAATTCTCCTCCAATACCACATTTCAAATGAACCAACTTTCTTCTTGTCCACTTTCTTCATTGTCCAACTTTTACACCCATACGCAGTAATGGAAAGTACTATGGCATGAATTAACTTGATCTTGGTTGCCAGCAACACATCCTTACGCTTAAGAATCTTTTCTCACCCCTTCACAGCTGCCCTTCCCACTCTCAGTCTCCTTCTGATTTCTTGGTTGCAGTCTCCCCTTTTGGTTGATGACTGAGCCAAGGAACAGAACATCTTTAACAATTTCAATCTCTTCAGTGTCAACCTTCAAGGTGTGTAATCCCTCAGTACTCAGCAGTGGGAATTACTCCCAAGTAAATGCCTATAGATCTGCAGAGGGCATAAACTGCCAAGCTGTTTGCACCCTCTTTTCATTTTGTACCAGGATCAGGAATGAATCAGGAAGTACTCTGAGTTCATGCCCTGTGTTCTAGCAAGAGAGGGAAAAAATGCAAGGAATGATGGGCTTAAATCAGGTGTGGATTCAAACATGTCAAGAAAGGCTTTCAGGAGCATGCATGTTCTGTGTAGAGGGATGAGCTTTTCTTTCTTCAGCTTTAAGAAGGAATTCCAATTCTGGATTGTTTGCTATCATGGGCCAAATACAAATGCACAGGCAATCATTTTAGAATGAGCCCTTCAGAATAAGATTTTTCCCCCAAAGAAAAACAGGTTGCTTACCTGTAATTCAGGGATGGAGCCCAAAATCAGCCACAGAACATCTGCTTTGCATGCAGGTTTAAGTTGGTATCTCCATCTAAAAGGATCAGGTGGTGAGTGATGTGGAAGACCTCCACCTGAGACCCTGAGGAGCTGTTGCCTGTCAGGGTAGGTAACACTTACCGCCCGTTGTTGGACTTAGTGTAAGACTGTTTCATGTATCATGTAAATAATGTTCTTCAAGGGGCCATTTGAGCATTCCCACATATAGAGTTCCCCACCAGCACAACAGCTACTTTGGGACATTCTAGAGGTCTGAGGGAGAGTTTTGGGCATGCCTTGAGCAGAATGAAATCAAGTTCTGCTCAGTTACTTCAGACTGCCACAAGCAACTTCCCTAGTGTCAAGACAAACAGTAGGAGAACCGAAGTAGCAAAGACTAAATGGATGACCTTTCTAAGAATATCAATGGGAGGCAATCAACCTGCTTTTCTTCTTTGTGGTTTCTGTGCAATCATTCATATAGGTGACTAGAAAGCTGACTTACCTGAAGGCAGATGCTGGTGCTACATTTGGAGAAAAGATCTTGACAGCTTGCTGAGTATTCACCTTGGCTCAAATTTAAAGGGCACAGTGACAGAAAAATGTAGACAGTTGGCAGTGCTGCACCACTACAGGATTCTGATAGTGGTTCTCCATTCAAGAAGGCAGAAGGTGTAGATACTGTTCTTGTAGAATGAGTGCCACTCCTCTATGGCAATGGCTGTCTAGACAACTGGTAGAACCCATTAATGACCTTCACTGTCCATTTGGACAGCCAGTGAATTTCAATTACAAGGGCCTCGACAAACCGTTTAATTAGTTCCAGGTAGAGATAGACATCCCCTGAAGAAGATGATGATAGCTAATTCTCCACAATTTGGTCAATAACGAACTAGTACACCATGTGCTCTCCTACATTAGAAATCTATATGTTAAGCTCTCCAGCTGAGGAGATATCAAGTAATACAAACTTTCAGTTCAATACTGATCATATTAATATTTGTTTTTATCATTGTCATCTCTCTGATGGTCTTGGTGGGCCCTGGTATGTTCCCATCACTCAGTTGAGCCTGGCCACTTTGCATCCTATGACAAAGAAACTCTCCATGGGCAACACAGAGATAGCATCTTTTGTAATATTTATACCCTCCAAAACAACTGGATGGAGTGTAAACCAGAGAAAAACTTTTCACCCTTGGACTACACTATGGCAAGGTTTAAAGAAAGGATTAAAGCTAGGCAGGGTCTGCCTTAGATCCAATGATGGTGTCAGTAGAGACAGAGATAATGAGCAGGAATTGGCATGGTCAAGGAGGGGGGGAAAAGGACAATGTTTCCTATGCATTTTACCAAAAGGCTTCTTCAGGGGAATCTGTTCGTCTTTCAGTACTCCTTCAACAAGAGTACAAGATAAGTAGCAATTGTACAGTTGTTGAAGGAACACTGAAAGACGTGTAGGGAATTTTTAGCTGAGTAATAAAACATTTTTTTTAGTTTACTTGTCCCATCAGCCTTGGCCTTTTTTATCTCCTAGTGACTGGTGCAGCCCTTTTATTTTCTCTAAGACTGAAGAGATGTACAGTTTATGTACAGATTCAATGGAACCTTGGTAATTTTAGAAGGCCAGGCCACTCTGGAATGCTTCTTCTCATTCTTTTCACATTAGTCTTAAGAGTTGCCCAGCACTGTGGCACTAACTTCTCTCTGGCACTTAGTCAGAGGAGTGTGGGATGGTGGCATGGACAGGGGTTATAAGAAACTAGCAAAGGTGGGACGGAATTGCAGAAACCAATAACTCACTGGCTCGTTGTGATGGAGGCTCAGAGGCAAACTGACACTAAGCTTGGTATCAAAAATCAAGGGGAGTGTTGCAGAATAGAAGAGGGACAACTGATCTGTCCCGGAGCAGAACAAAAAGTCATGTATTCAGTTCTACAGGCCAGCTTGGTAAATTGCAAACAATGAACTCATTCACCCAAAGGAGAGAGAAGGCATGCCCAAAAGAAACAAGAACTTGGCCATACAAGTGCAGGAATGTTTAAATATAAGCCACTGTGCCATGGTCCAAAAAAGAAATCACCCTAAGAAATAAAGACGCAGACAGACATCCACCTGTTTCTAAAAATCAAAAACCTTCTGAAGTGAAAAAGGGCTAAGCTAAGAACAGAAACAAGCTAGCTAAAGCTAAGGAAAAATTCTGAGGAGATTTTCATGAGAACACTCACAGAATTGCTATTAATACGGCAATGAGGAGAGAATCGAGTGGGAAGCTGCTGGTTCTTCTTTCAAAGGCATGCCCAGAGAGGCAAAACATCCCTTTTAGGAAGAGGGCTTGAGTACCAGTTCTTTGGCTCAAACTCTCCAGTGCTTCAATGCTGCTTCTGTGCAGGCAGAGTGACCCCATATAATATCTGACCACACAGAAACTATGAAGATCATGATAAGTATACAAAAGGCTGCTTTTGTCATGCTCATGAATCCCAAACACACCTTAGCAAAGGGAAAAGGAAGTGATACATCTTCTTGCTAGAACTTTCACGCACTCTTCACTTAGCTCAGAAAACACCAGCTCTGTCAGCCCAGAGGCAGAGAATGACTTCTGGATGGTACTTTTTAATAGACAGTTCTGAGCAGCTGCTGCATCAGGTTCATCAGTCTTGAGAGTGACCTCCAATAACATTTCTGTCACAGTTTAGGCAGTAATTTTCTGAATGTTGTTTTGTTAATGGTAAAATTAAAAACATATGTAAAGTAAAACTAAAAAGTTATGTGTGTGTATAAAGCATCCATTATGCCTTGTGTAGAATGTGAGAAAGGCCCTTTTCTTCATGTTTTTTTTTTAAAAGAAATTGTACTTTTAGGCCTCAAGGATTAAGAAACAGACGACACTGTTCAGCTGGTGAAGGTTGGTTGCAACTTTCTTCCTGCAGTGTCACCAACCCTTTCAAATACATAAAAAATGAGCCATGCAGAGAATTCCTGCAAGGAATAACATCAATATAGTCCAGTGAATAAAACACTCAAACGCAACCAAAATAGTAAAAACACAGAAACACAAACAAAATAGTAAAAATCCTATCTTCTTTCATCTTTCCTTCATTGTGTATCTCCCACAACTATTTGCACCAACTTTGCTATAAAGCATTTTGTACAACACATATGCAAAATGAGAGGTGAGGCCATGTCTGAAAGTACATGAAGCCAAACAAATCCATCAGGAGTTCACATTAAGCATTGTCACAGACCAATGGCAACAGCTCCATGAGACCATAGACTGGCACAAGTTTCCCAAGAGGAAGGAATGGAAGGCGAGAACTGTCAGTCTGTCAGATCTAAGCCTTGGTTACTGGACTGTGCCCCTCTCCAGCCTGGAACTGCTGTTAATTTTCCTAAGGTAGTACTCACAGTGAGAAAACAAGAAAACAAATGGGCCATTTCCAGTGATGATTGTTCACATAATGGAGTACTTATTAATGAATTAAAAAAACACTGAAATTTCAATTGAAATGGTTATTGGCTGAGGTTCACAATCAAAATACTTAAGGTTTAAAGATAATCAAACTTCATCTCCCACCCTAACCCCTTCCATTCCCAGAGTCTCATGCAAAAGCAACAGAAGGTTGCTTGGCAACCATCATGTGACTTGGAGTAGCTCCCACTGTTGGCCCAGTATATCTGACTGGCAGATGTTGGTCACTAATCTGCTGGACTGGCTTTCCAGGCACAGGCCACTGACAAAGTGTTGGATGAAGTTCCCTTTCATTTTCCATTTCTGCAAGAGGGAAAGATGGAAGAAGGGAGGGAAGAAAAAGACAACAGTGAGAAATGAAAGATGGCCCATTCTCTGCTTAATTGTTTACTTAAAAAAAAACCAGAATGATATCATAGACCAAGGGTGATTTCCCACAAGCGCTGCTCCGCACTCACTCCTCCCTTTTGCCCGGATGGTACGTGTATATTTCACGCAAGCTGCTGCGCGGCCGCATTTTGCCCCGCAGCTTTGTGCGATTTCCCCCGCGTCTACTCAATCCTCAAAAAACAGGATTGAGTAGATGTGGGGAAAATCGTGCGAAGCTGCAGGGCAAAATGCAGCCACGCAGCAGCTTGTGTGAAATAAGACACGTACGATCAGGGCAAAGAGAAGAGTGAGCGCGGAACAGTGCTTGTGGGAAATCACCCCAAGAGTATCTGCAAAAAATCTCTGAATTCTCCGAATAGAGCTTTAGAGAGAAGAAGATGATATTGGATTTATACACTACTCTTCACTACCCAAAGGAGTCTCAGAGCGGCTTACAATCTCCTTTTCCTTCCCCTCCCCAAAACAAGGTAGGTGGGGCTGAGAGAGCTCTTTTGAGAACTGCTCTTGAGAGAACAGCTCTGGGAGAACAATGACTGACCCAAAGTCACACCAGCAGCTGCACGTGGAGGAGTGGGGAATCAAACCCAGTTCTCCCAGATTAGAGTCTGCGCTCCTAACCATTACACCAAACTGGCTTTATAGATAATATTATTATGACTGAGAACTCTTCAAAAGATGATGTTATCCCAAAGTCATGTAGAATCCCAGTGTTTTAGCATGGTCAGGATTCAACAGGAGCTCAGCTGTTTTCTGGGCTCTCTTGTGCAATCCCTTTAAATGCATTCTGTTTAAAGGGACTGCAGAAGAAAGCCCAAAAACCAACTAAAGGTGAGAGAAATCTGCTCCTGCTTCTCAGCTGTTTTTTGCAGTTTTTCCACTGCTGTTTCCCCCCCCCCCTCAGCTTTTTTCTTCACAGGTCTCTTGGACCTGGAAAAAACTGGGATTTCTGAAATATCCCAGATCCAAATATATTACCAACATTGGGATTTGGGATTTTTCAGGAATCTTGAAGTTTTTGGGGGTCCGAACTGAAAAATACCAAGAAAAAAAATTGCACACCACTATTCTCTTATCAAGCCTCCAGAAACTGGACAAAACTAAACAAACCATGCACTCCCAACTGTCACAGATGGGAATCTTCACTAGCCACACCCCGTATTCATGACAGGGAGCACAATCCTTTCTTAGTTGTTCAGTTTGAGATAACAGCAATTCAGCACACACTCACACTTCGCAACTCAGGCAATTTTCATCTGCGCTTGGATATTTCTATCTGAACACGAACATCTCACAAGAAGATGCAACTCTATGGGTAAATGTTGCAATTTCTTCTAGGTACAGCAATCAGGAAGCATAACGTGGGCTCGATCCATAATTAAGTTTTTTTGTAACTAAAAAAATCTCAGCATATTAATATCCAACCAATAATTAAGTTTTTTGTAACTATAATTAAGTTTTTTTGTAACCAAAATTGAGTTTTTTGGTAACCATAATTAAGTTTTTTTGTAACTAAAAAATCTCAGCATATTAATAGACAACCAATCATATATCTAACCAAGCAGACTACAACTCATGTCAAATTCTGTCAGCAAATATGCTTCTCTCCCTCTCTCATCCCATTTTCTTCCAAAGAGCTCGGGGCACTGTACATGGTTTTCCCCATCTCCATTTTATTATTACATAAATGTTGTAATGTATGATGGGATGAGAGAGAGTTATTGTTCAGCCCGACACAGCAAGACTGTGTGGGGCTGAACAATGATTTGAACTCAAGGCTCTCTGTTCCCAGTCTAACAACTGACATCTCTGCTTAGACATACGGCAGTACGAGTAATTGATCTGTGAAAGACTGGTGGATACATGGATGGATGGACAGATGGTCCTACCTCCCAGCAGGGCATTGGCCTGACTGGCATTTGGTTTCTTCCATGGCTTAGTAAAATTATAATCTGAAACAAGAACATAGAATTGTGGGGCCATCTCTCTCTTATTTTATCAGCTTCAAGAGGGGATTGGATAAACATATGGAGCTATTAGCCACAGTGTACAGATGGAACACAGTGGGTGCGTTAAGACGGGTATTTAAGCCGGTATAGATGCCGGTTAGAATCAGAGTACTTACCCGTGATCACACAGCGAACATCTGCCTTCCGTCCCTAACCGTCACAAACACCCTTTAAACCGGTGTATTCTGCTACTAGGTCCCCAAGTGGTGGTATCCTGAGTGCTCCGGTTCCAACCGCATTATCCCCATCTGATTGCTCTCCACCGGTGTAGAGCCACTTCTGTTCGGAAGCCCAAGGCTTCCGCTTTTCGGTCGCCTTTTTTTTTTTAGCCTCCATGATGTGTGCTTGGGCGAAGCTTCGCCCCGGCGTTTCTTAGTTTTAGGCTGCAGATGAGTCTGGGACCTCATGGCGGCCCTTTTCACTGTAAAAGTTTAAAGGGAAGTCTTTGCTTCAGGGCACACTTTTTGGGACGGGGTGTTCTGCGCCCGCATGAAAATCTCAACTCTGTGGATGGCTGCCTATGCGCATGTGCAAAATGTAAAAAAAAAATTAAAAACCGCTGACACGCGCTGCTGCGCATCAGTAGTGTGAACGGGCATATCGTGATGTGCTGCGCAGTCAGGAGGTGAGTGTGATCGCGTTTCTACCAGATCAAACTGCTCCGGTTCCAACTGGAACAGTTTATGCCGGCTTAAATGGCCCGTCTGAATGCACCCAATGTCTTGGGCAGTGATGCTCTGTATTCTTGGTGCTTGGGGAGCAACAGTGGGAGGACTTCTGCAGTTCTGGCCACTGTGTAACAGTGTTGGACTGGATGGGCCATTGGCCTGATCCAACATGGCTTCTCTTATGTTCTCGGCCCTAAGTATGGCAGAGCTGTATTTAACAAGTCCTGAGTCTCTGGAAGGCAGCATATGCCATATTTAATGCTAAACAAGTAGCAACAAATTAGAAAGCTCTCTAATGCCAATTCTGTGGCATCTTTACTAGGTTACAGGAGATGCAGACGACTGCTGGACTTTCCTTGTGTCCTCCTTTAGCCAGGCAGACGGTCCTTTTATGACAAGGAAGTGTTCTCAGTAGTCTGATAACCCAGGGATGTTAAATTAGTATTTGGCTCATCTGCTTGATTGATGAAGACAATAAAGATCAACTTAGCAGCCTGGATTGATGAGAATGAAGCTCTTTTGCAGACACAGTATATGCAGGTAGGAAATACAGCTGGCTAGCTGTACCATGCCCTGACCTGGATGGCACAGGCTAGCCTGATCTCGTCAAATCTCAGAAACTAAGCAGGTCAGTATTTGGATGAGAAACACTAAGGAATACCAGGGTTGTGACGCAGAGGCAGACAGTGGCAAACCACCTCTGAATGTCTCTTGCCTTGAAAACTCTACAGGGTTACCAAAAGTCAGCTACAACTTGACAGAAAAAAAGCTATGCCACTGGGTTTGCTCATCCCTTTCAAATTAATGCTGGAAGACAGTGTGTGCACTCAATGAGTGACTCTTTTGAACTAAGCAGTTTTATACATGCGCTAAATTGTACAGCAACATGTGAAGATTCAGGTGTTAAAGCCTACAATCATCCATTGTAAAAGCTTCATTAACTGAGCGTTAATTTGTTTTTTTGGGTTTTTTGCATATATCTCTGGCTGTACCTGATTCTCCCTTTACAGGGCACACAAGGCAAGTTATTGGACTGGCTGCAGTTCTCCAGCCTTCACAGCATTCTTCGGACTGTCACACTGGGGAAACCTTTCCATGATAAAACAGGGCATCCAAAACACTGACATTTAATGTGCTTCCGTATCCTGCATGGGTCGGGATGCTTGATGGACTGGCCTTGGCTCCCCGGAAGGAAAACAGTTTGGTAGACAGGTTGCACAGGGAGATGGTGACGATGAGCAACATGGGAGATGGAATTAAATCCCTACACAAAGTTCAAGACAGGATCCACGGTCAGGCAAGCCAAGTGCCTCGTCAGCTGCTTTTTATAAGGAAAGACTAATCAGTGCTCAGTATTATTTATTTGCTTCATTTATAATCTGCTTTTTGCCACAATGGGAACCCAAAATGGCTTACAACCTTCTCCCTTTCTCCATTTCATCCTCACAACTACCCTGTGAAGTAAGTTGGGCTGAGAGTAGGTGACTGGCCCAAAGTCACCCAGGCAGTTTCTATTGGCAGAATAGGAATTTCAGCCTGGATCTCCCAGATCCTACTCCAGCACTCTGACCACTACATTGTGACTGGTTATTCAAAGTATGAACAGTATCTTCAATGCCATTGGCAGGAAATCTTGGGGTATTTTCCTTCTATCCTCCCCCAGTAGTCCCTGGGTCTGTGCAACCAGATGTATGCTGTGAGTTCCATACTGGGAACTTAATCCCAAACATGCACAGGCACAATCTGGTTTGGGACCACAGTACATAGGGAGAGGAGTCATCAGTTTCCAGCCAGACTTTCTCCACTGGGGAAACCCATGTGTACCCCACCAGTATGCATGAAGCCCCCAACAGAGCAAACAGCCCCTCCCCAGCCATTTCTGGTCAGGAAGGGGGTGAGGAGCCTTACAGCACAATCCTAAGAAGAGCAGGGATGGACTGGCTATTAAAGCCACCAGGAAAGTCTTGGTGGGCTGATGGCATGGGAAGTGAGTGGAGCCCATCATGGCTGCAAGTTGGCAGCCCCCATGAGGGGAGTGGGAGCTGCCACTGCTGCAAGCCAGTGGCCCCTGCCTTGGGGAACCAGCAGCCCCCCCCCACACACACACACCACATGGGCAGGAGCTGCTGCTGCAAGCCAGTATCTGCCGCCCTGTGCAATGTGGGCAAGCATGAGCTGAGCAGAACCTGAAGCAAGCCTGCCCCTTCTCTCCTGGGTCTATTGGAGGGCAGGTGCAGAC